AAAATTATCGTGTCTTATGCCTTTGAGCTTTCTACATGGATATATGAATACATACTTGTTTACCCGTATCCATCAGAGCGGTTGTTGGCGCGATGCCGAAGGGAGACTCGCCCAGAAATGGGCGTCCAATGTCATGCAAATTAAAGCTTTTGCAAGATTCCTGGCCGTTTCTCGCCTATTTTCCTTTTATATTGCACTCTTGCTGCTATTTTTGAGCGGGAACCAAATTATCGTGCCTTACGCCTTTAATGTAACGTTTATCAAATGTGCACGTTTTTTGTACACGTGCCCTCGAAGCTAGCCTTTTCTGAATTCCAATGAGTTTCTTCGGATTATGAATTGCATCGTGTCAGCCTTTGAAGGCAGTTAGCACGATAAATCCGCCAAGGCGACTAGGATCAATACTCCTGGCAGGATAGAATTCCGCGACCCTGGGCAGGCGCTGCATAGCGGTTTCCCCGAGGAAGGTGCCCTTATAAGGGCCCTATCAAGCCACAACTTTACGTCCCAAACGCCCGCCACGCCCGCCCGCCCACAAATGGACGACCGTTCCTGACGCTCGTATTCATTCATTTGCTAAGCAAATTATGAAGCGAAGGGATTGGTATGAAGCGGCCGTGATGCTGCATGCATACATGGGTACACATATGCAGCCGTATCTTCGGTAGCGGTGATTGGTAAGATGCCTACGGGAAACTCGTCCGAAATCGATTTTCAAGTCACTGAGAACGGAGGCTTTTTCTTCGCAGGATTTTGACCGTTTCACTCCGTTCTTTCGCCATTTCCCCACTATACAGCGCCCTACTAGCATTTTAGGCTAAGTAGGAAACCATCGTGCCAACTGCCTTTAATGACCATCTTGCCAATTGCCAGCAATCGTCGTCATGACTTAAAAGCATGGATGAAAAATGCACGGTCATCTGACAGTACTCGGTTGCAAAGCGAGGTGTTTCCTTGCCAACCGTTTAGAACTTTGCTTTTAACTTCATCAAGGGATAGAAGAGAGTGCTTTTCATTCTCTGTCATTTGGTGCCTTTCTACAGAGTAAGGGGACGGGCGATTCTATCGCGAGCTTGCAAGGTCAAGCAATGTTAGCGACGTCGCGCGCTGCTAGTCGCGCGCGTCGCCAGCCACGCCCATCAGTTAGGCCACCGAGCGGTGCACCGTGCACGACGACTTAGTTGCCACATACCCCATTGGCCCTGTTGTTCACCTATCGAACGCTTCCTTTACACCGTTCAAAAGTGAAGATGTAGTGCAGATATCTAGAGACCTCAAATGCTGGTGAAACTCTGCCGATGCAGACAGGTCTGAGGACATTGTCACCGAACTAAGCCTCTCGGTCTCCAACACGAATAATATGCTCATAAAAAGCGTGCTTTCCAAAGCAGTATGCAGTATTGTTCTCCTGGAATGGGGGGGGGCATGTCGCCTTTGATAACTCCTTTTGCTAGTTAACCTTATTCAACAGGTTCCACTTTGGTGAGACCTGTAAACGCTTGTGGAGCTGCGAATAGGTCTTCACAAAGGTGGCTTGGACAGGCATCACTGCGCACCATTCGTGTCCCTAAGAAGCCAGAATGACCCTGCCCAGCATGTCCCGACTTTCGTAGGTACAGCATCAGGAACCAGTGGTGAAGCTATTGATGCCCATGAGCAGCTCGGTGATCAGGCGAGTGCAAAGCGTACAAATGGTAGTGTTGTGGTTTTTTAATTTGTTTCTTTGCCAGGGAGGTTTGTTGTGATGGAACCTTTTTGTTGCACATCATTTGTTATTCATCGAACCGAGCATCAGAAACGTAAAAAAGTACTACCTCATATCGAGGTTCTAACGGGACCAGAGCTGTATTTCCTCTCTCTCTCTCTCTCTCTCTCTCTCTCTCTCTCTCTCTCTACCAGTAACTGTTTTACTGGAAACTTCAAACAGACCTGCTGTAATGTGGGACAGATGATGCGTTTTTGGCTCATTCAGAGCCTACTCAGTTACCGTACAGCAAAATAGAGGGGCTTCAGAAATGCCGGTCTCTTCAGCACTATTCACTACTATAAGAATCTTCGGTATCAAGGCCCGTTATGGTGGAACTCACAGTCAGAGCAATACATTTTCTTTGCAATATCAAACGGCACATTTAGATACTGCGAGATCAAGAGCACGAAAATACCACTCGAAGGCATGAGGCACGATAAGTTGGTACTCGGTCCAAAATTAGCAGAGCGAAGTGAAATTGGCTGAATCCTGCAAAAAGCCGTCGTTCTACAAGGAATCAGCAAGAAGTTTCGGGCGAGTTCTCCGTTGGCATGGTGCCTAGGCTGCATGTGTGTACATCAATGCAGCACCGTAGCCGAAAGCTATACGGGCATGAGCATGTTGGACATTTGTAGGCGGGCGGGCGCGGTAAGCGTTAGGCGTTTGTTTCGGTATGTTGCAGCTTGACAGGACGCTACAGAGGTACTTTCCTTGGAAAAGGCGATGCGCAGCGCCTACAGGGAGACCACATTCCGTCCTGCTGGAGTATGTGGGTGTTCCCACATATCTTGAGATTTATCGCCACCTGCCTTGATGTGGTTGAGCGTACTGCACTCGTTTTTAGTGACCAATTAGGCGCAGGTAATGATTGGGCTTGTTACTGATAAGTGAGGATTGGATTCTGATAAGTACATTACTAGGGTGCTGTTTGTCGACGGGGGGCATTTTGTACTACCATTGCTTCCCTAGTTCCGGTTTACAAATCTCACTCTGGTAAACTTGTGAACGCTTGTGAAGCTGGAGTAAGATCGTCTAGCCACCATCCTAAAACGTGTCAACTCGAGAAAAGGCTACCTAGATGGGTCGGCACATCTATGGAAAGCAGAATACCCCCCCGTCGACAAACTGTGCCCATTACTCGTTTGTCATGTATGAACTCCTCTGTGATGTATGAACTCTGATGTATGAACGGGAGACAGGCAAGAGAATCGTAATAGGCTGCGTCGCCGCGCGCGTCGATGAGCGCGGCGCTTTCTTAACTTGTGTCACTTCGTCGATTAAAGCACCGGACTTCATGTAGACCCCGTCATCGTGGACATTCATGACTATTTTCGGTTCTGAATTGCCTGTTGTCGCCATCTACGACCTGGACGAATCATCATTTGCGGGTGCAACGTCGCACGCGACGCCCATTAGCGCGGCGAATTTCGGTTCTCTTGTCACATTCCCATTCTCCGCATGATCCGCGGCACGTAGTTTAAGTGTTGTATGACGTCAGAGACACTTTTGGGATCGGGGACCTGCGTTACACCAACGCCAACATTTAGCCGCTTCTTGGGCCAGGACGCACCTTCTGGTCGGTACATCTTTCCTTCATCATTTACGTGATTATTCTATGTTTTGAAGGCAATCGGAAAATCAGAATATGACGCGACCACGCAGATGCTTAAATCTTTATATCCCAGAAAACAGTGTCAGTATAATGATGGTCCAAATCTCAAGTGAACCAGTACGATTTGCTAAACAGTAGCAACTGATGGTGAAAACATTCAATACAATAATTTTGTGATTCAAGTTGAATAAGTGATATTTGGGAATGAACTGTTTACTCATCAACCTTTTCTTCCTTTTCTTTGGATGTAGAAGGGGGAGCGTTTGGCCACAACGCAGCAACACAACAGATACAACAACAGCAACAGCAAGAGACTAGAAACATTACCATAATCACCCAAATGGCGGTGATAATGACAAAAGCCAATACATAGGTAAGATGATCACAGTAAGTAGAACCATCTTGTTTGTCGTATGTAACAATTTTGCTGACACTGTAGGTCCAGAAAGTACCAAGAATTAACCTTGAAAGAAGAAAGTTGAGCTTTACAATCAACATTTGCAACTTCGCTAGTACTGTACGTATTGATTTCTAACTACGTTAGAAGAGTTTTGGTTGGGCAGTTAAGATCGGCTTCGATCCTCTCAGGTGGTACCGCTGGCAGAGCAATGAAGCTGATTCATCAACCTCTTATGAGAAGAGTGCAAAGCTGCTCACAACTGACGCAGTGTCGTACTTACCAAAATAGTACACAGCTACTAGGCTGTGTATACGTTAAGGCGGCGTCCACCAGCGACCAGCAGCGTCAAAGAGCGTCCAACAGCGACCAGCAGCATCCAGGATGGAGAGCGGGTGATATTAGGATAGCGGACAGTTGTCGACAATCGCGGCATAGGAGGGTAGACTACAGCAGAGAGTATAGGGCGATAGGAGGTGCCAGCTGTCTGATACCGTGTCATATCTTCCTCTATCGCCCCATGCTCTCCATCCCTGGACGCTGCTGCTCGCTCATAGGCGCTGGTAAACGCTGCTGCTCGTCGTTAGATCGATGACCACTCCTAGTCCCTCGAGACGCTGATGGCCGCTGGCGGACGCTGACGTTCGGTAAATCGATATCAATACCTTCCTAGTCGCTGACGCTGACGAACGCTCGCAGCTAATGGTCGCTGTGCATGCAGCTCAATGCGGGGTCCTGCTACTCTCCTAAGCTGCCATCATCTTTAAACTATCCCCATGTTCCTGCAGGATGCCATATCGGTATCTATACTTTTCTTCTCGGGAATTCCCTGGAAACGCCAATTCTCTCGAAACGGATATTCATGTACTCTGCAGTCGCAAAGTGTGACTAAGTCGCAAACTTATTAAATTGTTCAAACTAAGCAATAAAAATTTGCACTAACCAAATAATCCAAAATATGCAAAAGAAGAGTTCCAAGAATGCACGTATTTTGAGCAGATCGCCTTTGTTTCGATCCTTAATTAAGTTAATTAGGTAAAACCCTCTGTCCCTCTGTACTTAAACATTCAAGTTCTTCGCTGCTTCCTATGGCAACGATGCCGGGAAGGATCGTCTTTATTTTCAGTCTTCAGATTGACTACACTAAATCTAGTTCTAACATTTTACCCGTGATTGCAGCTACACCTTGTAATTAAAAGTACCTTTTTCGAAGAAGTAGCCCAATTTCTCCTCAATAACATGCCAGAAATGCTGGGGCGTGTCAGGGATGGTGGAGTTTGGCGCGTTGAAATTGGAGCGGGAAAGTGACATCAACTGGTGCAACGAGCAGGCGCCGCCTCAAACCGAGCCTTATTGTGGAATGCACCGAGCGCGCTGCAGCGTACAAGACTGTACCTTCCTTTCGTGATGAGCTGTCAGGGCTGCTTCAAAGTAGTCTCCGCGCTGATCGCACTTTGAGATCATAACCCGCCATAGGACCTTCCTCATTGATGGAACACCTCTTGTAGGATGGCAAATGGATGTGACGCGCTAAAGAGGAAATGGGGGCTGAGTTTGGAGCGCGGCGTTGGCGCCAGCAAGCAACAAGAACTGCTGGAAAAGGGCTCGCGTCGCGCTCAACCCTCTCCCTGATGTGCCCCAGATTCGCAGCGATAAGGACTGTATATTAGATCAGGTCAGAGGCTACCTTCACGTACTATGAACGCAAATGGCTGCATTGCGGCTAAGCGATAAACCCCACCAATTGCAGTCTGCCTTGGAATTCTAGAATACGTCCAATATCTATCCACCGCAATGCAGCCCTTTGCGCCTAAAGTTCTTGGTGATCGTGAAATTAATCGATGATACAACTAAAAACTTAGCTTCGTAACTGACCACTATTCCGAAGCAAATATGTAGTGTGTACCGCAAGCAGCTGACACCACCAGAAACGATCAGCCATATGGGAATCATATTATTCACTGGACAGTTGTGAACATTGAGCGAGCCCACGACGATCTCGACGATTGCAATGAACAAGAACAGGCCGAGGATGAACAATGTCCCCACTGAAAGAGTTCAGCGATTATGACTGGCCATAGTAATGGTCATATTTCTTAGAGCTGTCGAAAGTTAGATAGAGTGTGGTATATATAGCTGGTCAACTAATTACATATTGCTATAGTGATGGTTATTCTTTGCGGGGCGAACCTGCCCACAACCGAAATTTCCGCACGCAATCGGCATTCCTGGGAGAACTCCAAGAGTCCGAACTGTGGAAAGCGGCACGATAAATCTTAAGACGTGTGGAATGAACACGCCTAGCAGCGCAGAATTCCGAGTCCCCGAGCAGGTGCTCTAGGGCGCCTTTCTCGAGGAAAGTATAACGCCCTATCGAGTGCAACATACTATCCCAGACACCCATCGCGCCCGCTCGCCTACAAATGTCTGACCAATGATGATTCCCTTATCGAAGTACAATATGAAGCGAAAGGAATGATATGAAGCGGCTGCCATGCTGCATGGATATATGAGTACATGCATGCAGCAGTATCTACCGTAGCGGTTATTGGCACGATGCATCTTCTTGTCCGAGATTGCTTTCTGGGTCGTTTCGAAAAACAGCTATTTTGCAAGTTTCTGACCGTTTTACTCCGCTTTTTCCTACTGAAGCACCCTTGCTACCATTCTAGACTCCGGACCTGATCACATTGTGAGAGCTTTTGGCTTCAAAGCCTCCATGTCTTCACCCGAAGTATTAGTCCTTCCTTTTATAAGATACGATTGATCGCCATCAGCGGCTGCATCGTCACGCGACACAGAAATGTTGCAGCAAATACGCCACGAATCTTCTGAATTGGGGTTATCGAGGCCTCCGGGGGAAGGGAACATAACAACCTTCGCAAATACTGTATGGAGAATGGTCATTCCAACGTTTCTAGCCCCGGTCGTCTATTCTCTCATGAGAGCACCACCGAAGCCCCCTAGGGAGAGAGGGCCTAACCCTTGCTCACACTACTCTATTGGGCTAGAAAACAAGTCCTGCAACACTTTGAGCCGCCGTAACCTGAGTCTGTCGTGGTCTATGCCTTGTGTAAAGGCATGGGTCGTTACGTGCCGTTTTCTCTAGTCAGAAGTGCACGATTACCTGCTGAGCCATTGATATCCGTGTGTTGTCTCCATGCTGCCGCGAAACCAGCCGCTTCCGGTTGTTCTCAACCGCTGAGTTCGTGCATCGATGGCATGCGGATTCTTGGCATAGACTCAAGTGCTGTTGGGATAACGCGGGCAGGTAGGACGCAAGATAAGGGACCAGGCTTTCATTACCAAGTTCTACTTCTGCTGCGGAGTCCTTCCAGAAGGGCAAGTAACTTATCCACGTCTTTCGTAGGCGCAGGGTTTCACGACAACCGAGATGGCACAGAAGCTTGAGAGTGGCTGTATAGGATGCAGCTCTGAGTTGTCAGCTTACTTTCGGTTGCTCCTCCCCTCCCTCCCACAGTTTCGGGTGATCGTCGTTCAGCGGTACCCGACCACCAGGCTGCCAAACTTCGACTAAAATATCACCCGCATCCAAGCACTGATGCTAAACAGACACTGTAGGGTAGCAAACACTACATCAAACAGAGTATCGTTTAGCTGCCTAATTAGCTTCACACATCGCAGCTCTGTCCCAATGAATCATTTAGATCCGGATGATGATGCTGCGCGCACATCACCTCTAAAATAGCACTTGCACCGTTTCTGCCATAACGTTTGAGGTAAGGAATTTCAGCAAATTGAGTTGACTACGTGCTTTATGTGGAGAGATACGTCTTTCAACTGCCTGAAACGTTCTGAATAATTCCCATTATAGAGTCCTCATATCAAGTCCTTCCCTCCTAGGACTCGTACCGAAACTCTACTACTGATGTTTCGAAGCATTTTGTACCCCAAGTGACCCTGCACTTCGAAAAACTCACTTATTTTGCCTAGCTGGCGCCCTAGTTCTTTGCTTAGTTCCGCCTTTCTGCTGAATTGTCACACTTGCGAATCTTAGCTACAAGGATCTTGACGGACTTTTCTGGAAACAAGCTTTTGAACCTGGTATGCCTGTGGCCAAGTGGCCATGTCACTTTGTAAGCGGCGCCATGTGCCTCAGTTCGGACAGATCTCCAGCGGGAATTGGCAGGTGAACCTTTTCCAAACCGCTTGTTCCAACACTCCTTAAAGACACATGGTACGCTCGAACACATTGAGGGTGTATGAGACTATCAGCCCCCCAGCTGTCGATGTGTCGTGGTCCCCCGCCCAAAACTGCACGGGGTCAGAGTACGGGGCCGTGGGAAAGTCGTAATTCCTTGCTACACCGCCCGTTTCGTTTTTACTAACACCGTCCGCGCGGCGCGGTCGCGTGCAGCTCTCTTGGCTTTTTGCCAAGTCCTGTAATTGCGCTTTGGAATACAAGTACAACGCAATTTCTTTATGCGGGACATTTTAGGTTCTGCAAAATAAGAACTGAAGATGATGACGAGGGCTAGAACTCAAGAGCAACTGTGGTGCTTCTGCAATATCCCTCAGAGGCCGCGCATTCCCACAGAACATGACAATAAAAACGGCCTAAGCGTCCCACTCGTTAGTTTGAAGTATTTCTATAGCTTTAGAGCCGGATTCGAGCCGGATCGCAGAAATGCACACGCGATTTT